AATCCCTCACGAAAATTGTTTTCGCCTTCAAGCTGGGCCTGTTTATTAGGCCCCAGAAATAACCCTATTCTTTTTTTTTTTCTTTGAGGCAGAGTTTTGCTCATGTTACCCAGGCTGGAGTGCAATGGCATGATCTCAGCTCAGTACAACCTCTACCTCCTGGGTCCAAGCAATTCTCCTACCTCAGCCTCCTGAGTAGCTGGGATGACAGGCATGCACTGCCATGCCCAGCTAATTTTTTGTATTTTTAGTAGAGATGAGGTTTCACCACATTGGTCAGGCTGGTCTCAAACTTCTGACCTCACGTGATCCACCTGCCTCAGCCTCCCAAAGTGCTGAGACTACAGGTATGAGCCACAGTGCCAGGCCCCTCGCCTTATACTTAAAGGGCTCCACACTGAGCTGCTAGATCTTCTTCTATCGGTCTGTGTAGTCATATATGTGATATGTATGTAATATCTATAAAAAAAGAGCTCTAATTGGCCTATCAGCATTTAGATAAATTTTATTTTATTTTATTTATTTTCTTTTTTTTCACGAGTAGAATCTAAGATAAAATTTATTTTAAAAGAAACTGGCCAGGTGCAGTGGCACATGCCTGTAATCCAAGCACTTTGGGAGGCCAAGGCAGGTGTATCACGAGGTCAGAAGATTGAGACCATCCTGGCCAACATGGTGAAACCCCATCTCTACTAAAAATGCAAAAATCAACTGGGCATGGTGGTGAATGCCTCTTAGTTCACGTGATTTTAATCTTTAAAAATAAAACAGTCTTAGGGATTATTGCTAAAATACAAACATATTCAAGATGTAAATATGTGGTCTAAATTATGCTGGTCAGATACTAGGTTTGCTAAATGTTTTAAGGTTGTAAACTGCTGCTTTGGCCTTTAAGAATTGTTCAACTTTTTCACGATGGATAAGTTCTGGGAACATATGGAAGTAACCACGCCCCTAACTTATTCTGGAAGGAGTTAAACTTTATCTGCACCTAGCACATAATTAAAAACAACTTAACAAGTTTTACATTAAAGTTAAAAATTGTTAAGTGGTAGGGCAGGGCGTGGTGGTTCATGCCTGTGGTCCCAGAATTTTGGGATTCCAAGGAGGGTGTATCATGAGGTGAGGAGTTTGAGACCATCCTGGCTAATGTAGTGAAAACCCATCTATACTGAAAATACACAAAATTAGCCAGGCGTGGTAGCACGTGCCTCTAGTCTCAGCTACTCGGAAGGCTGAGGAAGGAGAACTACTTGAACCAGGAGGTAGAGGTTGTAGTGAGCTGAGATCATGCCACTGCACTCCAGCCTGGGTGATGGAGCGCAATTCTGTCTGGAAAAAAAAATTGCTAAGAGTTACCATTATGATATGTAATTCAAACTACTGAAATAGATTTATATGCAAGGTGTGTAGACACAGTAACGTGTTTTTCATAAAAAAGTTATAAGAAGGCATGGAAATGTACATTTTGCCTAGAGATAAAGGATTGTCTTAAAGTAGGTAAAATATAGCTGAAGGTTTAAGCCAATTGGGAGAAAATTGTAAGAATTAATCTTGCAAAGGAAACTCTGTGAACATATTGACTAAATTCAAAAGGGTTATTATATGGTTTCCTGTAAATTGAGCATTGAAATAAAAATAACTCTTTTTTTTTTTTTGACAGAGTCTCATTCTGTTTTCAGGTTGGAGTGCAGTGGGGTCATCTTGGCCCACTGCAACCTCCACCTTCTGGGTTCAAGCAATTCTCCTGCCTCAGCCTCCTGAGTAGCTGGGACTACAGGCGTGCACCATCATGCCCAGCTTTTTTTGTATTTTTAGTAGAGACGGGGTTTCACCATGTTGGCCAGGATGGTCTCGATCTCTTGATCTTGTGATCCACCCACCTCATCCTCCAAAAGTGTTGGGCTTACAGGCGTGAGCCACCGCGCCTGGCCACAAAGAACGCTTTAATGCACTAATCTACTCTTTAGCAAAATTTGTAAAGGGTTATAAAAGGTTTGCGAAAATCTCACCTCATTGTCGAACTGATTAAGATTGGATAGATTTGCCGATAAGGTTTCATTAAGAATTGGAGTTAACATTAATAGTAGACTAATGCAAGGGTGAAATCTGGCTTTCTCCCTCTTGAACATGATTTTAATGTAATAGTAGAGGCTAATGAAAGGTTTTTGCTTTTTCAGATTTTTGAGTCATCATTTTGGAAAAATAACTTACAAGTAATCTGGAATTCTATTACATAACATCAAATATTTTATTTTATTTTATTTATTTATTTTTTTGAGACGGAGTTTCGCTGTTGTTACCCAGGCTGGAGTGCAATGGCGCGATCTCGGCTCACCGCAGCCTCCGCCTCCTGGGTTCAGGCAATTCTCCTGCCTCAGCCTCCTGAGTAGCTGGGATTACAGGCACGCACCACCATGCCCAGCTAATTTTTTGTATTTTTAGTAGACACGGGTTTCACCATGTTGACCAGGATGGTCTCGATCTCTTGACCTCGTGATCCACCCGCCTCGGCCTCCCAAAGTGCTGGGATTACAGGCGTGAGCCACCGCGCCCGGCCAACATCAAATATTTTAAACCTGTTAACATTTTTAACAGGTTTCCACAAATCTATTGTCTTTCCTGACACCTAGCTTTTGGACGCTACAGAGGGCCCCTGGGGCATCCGGAAGGGAGGTAAACAGGATTATTTGACATGTTTAGATACATGGGATTGCCAAAATGATGTCTAATCTTCTTCAGGTTATATTTCAGTAAATATTATTCATCTATGTTCAAAAATTGCATGGGGTTTTGAAAATTCTATTGTCTAAGTATCTGCCATCAATCACAATTAAGGTTGTTAAGTTATTGCAAACCACAGAGATAACTAACTTCTTTTGTCAATCATGTTTTTGACTAACCACTCTGGACATTTTGTCATTTACAGACAACTTGTCTCTTCAAATATGGTTCATAATTAGCTGTAGGACTTTTAATAGGTATTCTCTCTTTCTCTTTTTTTTTTTTTTTTTTTGAGACGGAGTTTCGCTGTTGTTACCCAGGCTGGAGTGCAATGGCACGATCTCGGCTCACCGCAACCTCTGCCTCCTGGGTTCAGGCAATTCTCCTGCCTCAGCCTCCTTAGTAGCTGGGATTACAGGCACGCGCCACCATGCCCAGCTAATTTTTGTATTTTTAGTAGAGATGGGGTTTCACCATGTTGACCAGGATGGTCTCGATCTCTTGACCTCGTGATCCACCCGCCTCGGCCTCCCAAAGTGCTGGGATTATAGGCGTGAGCCACCGTGCCCGGCCTTAACAGGTATTCTCAAATGCAGGTTTCTGATAACAGAAAAACATACAGGACTCATGAAAAGCTAAAATGTTTATAAATATCAAGCAGAACAAGAGTTAACCGAATAGACTGAACTAATAGAAAAACTGAAATAATCTTTTTGACTTTTGCTTCGAACATTGCTGATCCTTGTCTTGTTTTTCAGAGTCACAGAAACTTCTGTTGAGCTAGCTACAGCCTGTAGCAATTGAATAAGGTTTACTCCTGTTAACAAAATTCGTGACATGTTTGTTTCCCTTTGCCTTATTGGTTCTTTAAGGACCACTGCAACATGGCCTTGGGAATTATACTTCAAGAAGCCTATAAGATTACAGGATGTTTATACTCTTAGCGATATAGGAATAGCACTGGGGGGCTGCAGGAGGATGGAAAACCTCAAACTACAACTAAAAACAAGAACTAGGCAAAGAAACCACAGGATAACAGAAAACCCAAAATGAGAGAGAGAATGGCCAAAATCCCAGTCAGGATGACGTGTCCGTGACTCTTCTGTGCAAACCCAAACAAGAGAGAAAGGGCGCGATAACCAGGTGGGTCCCTGAATTTCCCTTCTTTTCCCGAACACCTAATAACTATTCCACTCTCTAATTAAAGAAACACCCACAAAACAGGAATGCGGCGTGGTCACAGGAGACGTGGGGGTGGGGAAAACATCAAGCTCATAAATTAGCTACACCAACGAGAAGACTGGGCTGATGAGACCGTAACAAACAGGATGGAGACTAGGCTACTCCATGACGCTAGATTTGACCCATTTCCTACCCTAGACCTCATTATACACTCATTACTACATTAAATCACACACCCACCAGTGCCAGGCAGATTCAAGCATGCCCACAGTTAGTATAAAAATGGCTGGCACCCCAATTCTGAGAAATTTCCACCTTTTCCTAGAAAACCTCGTGATTATTCCACCTCCGAATTAGAAGAGCCCATAAAATGAGAAACTCAAAGTCCACTGTGCCTGACCCGCTCTCGCGCGTAGGTCCGCGCTTCTCGCTTCTTTTGGGAGGAGCACCCTCTTCTCAAAAATGTGTACTTTCGTTTCCCAATAAAAGCTTCTCGCCTTTGGCTTCATTTTGACCCCTTCCTGAATTCTTTCTCGCTATGGTGTCAAGAAGCCGGACTCGGGAGGCGGGTGGGGTCTCACGGCCCGTGGAGACAGACCCTCCTGAGCCCTAGGAACACCAGTCCTCGCAGAGGGAACCCCGTGAACCAGTCCCGGGAGTAGCTCCACGCAGGAAGCCGGGATCCAGATCGACTGCAGTCCCAGGGATGGTGCCTGTATTGGGGTCAGGGTGGAGGAGGACGGAATAAGCAGGCGTAAGATTTTACTGGGACATGGGAACGTCAGTGGGTCACTCAGAGGAGGGAAGCAGGGGACCTCGTGGCAGGGCCCCCTTTATCAAACTCGTGCACCTGCACGTCTGTGCGAGTGCTCACAGCCTGCTTGTAGGGACGTTGAGGCATCCGAATAATAGGAAGTTTTAAAGATTTACAAGCCAGTGTTTACACTTGCTCACCTAAGATCATCTGAGATATACAGAATCATGGTGTGCATAATAAAAAAAAAAGAGCCAATCCTGGCCCGTCGCGGGACAAGACTACATTATCCAGAAGGCATTGGGGCCGCGCGTGCGCCGGATCAATGTCGGCACAGGAAGAGGCGTGGCAGGGGGCCTCGACTTCCGGCCCCGGTGCGGACGTTTGCAGTGGGGCGCGTTGGTCCGCATCCCCAGAGCTGTGCTGGCAACGATGGTGAGGAGACCGGGGCACACCTCCGCACCGCTGTAGGACCTGGAGGTGGGAGCCGTCCCACGCGGCCCCATCGTCCCATCGGTCGATGGCGGAGGGGAAGGAAGCAGCGCAGGTGAGCAGACCGGGTGGACGGCGTGCCGGGTCCTTCGCGGTGCAGTCCCTACCATTGTCTGCGAAGTCTTGGAGGCCTAGAAGGGAATCGCGCGGGCCCGGGTCCGGAATCCAGGCCTGGGCTGGCATGGGGGAGCGTCCCCGTTTCTGGGGTGCGGCGTTGGGGGTGGAGGGTGTGAAATAGGACCCCCCTCACAGGTGAGCGGAGCGACCGCGGTCCTTCCTGGGCCTGCGACCTTGAACAAGTCCCGATACTGTCCTCGTCCTTCATTTTTTGCGCGCGGAACGTAGACATAATTACTCTCTTCGCCCTGGGTTCAGGGAACTTGAACGACTCTCCGGAGGATGTGTGTTGTGTCCGTCCCAGTGGACAGCCCGGTCTGGGGGCGTTGCTCAGGATGCTGTTTCCGGAGATGCTTCCTGGACCTAGCTTTAGAGACTCAACCCCAGCAGGAGTCTGAGCCTCTGGCCTCCTGTCTCTAAAAAACGAAGGGCGGAGGCTGAAAGAGATGGGAGGAGCGTTTCTGCAGTCGTTGCTATGCCTGGGGAGAAAAGGCAGGCTGAAGAATTTGTCTCTTAGTTTAGGGCAAGTGAGGCTGGGTTGCAACTAACAGTATATTTTCCTGTGTAAGACATTTAGTTACAGGTGAAGAACGAGTCCATTGAAATGTTCTGCATGCAGAATGCAGTGTCCCTTTGGATGTAACACGAGGCCCAGGGTTAATCTCTAGTAGTCACCCTGATGACTTTCATGATAGCCCTGATTAGCCAGTACCTGTCGTAGGCGTTAATTTCTCATCCACATCTCCCTCCCTCGCTTTATTTCTGAGTCCCTCTGGTGCCTGCTGTGTGAAGAGCCCTGGTCTCTTGCATCGTTTAAATTGACCAGAATCTCTTTTGCTTCCTTGCTCTGTTTTCCTGTCACCTGAATCTTTAAGGTCATCTGAGACTGCTTTACTCATTTATTTAGTTGCCTGTTGAGGATGGTTTTCCAACCCTGGAATGTGATTGCCTGTTGCTCCCCTCTCCCAAGACCCAAAGCAGCCAGGCTTAAGTACATTTATTGTACTCAGTAAATGGTTGAAGACTGAATAGGCCTCTCTTTCAGGGGCTCCCATCACATCTCCAATAAATCCAGCATGGTCTGCAAGGCTCTGCTTGGTCTGCCCTTTTGACTGTATCTTCTTCCCCCTCTTCCATTCTCCTCTTGCTCACTGACTGCATTCATCCAGGGAGTCTTGAGCTTGCCAAGCTCTTTCCCAGTTTTCAGCCTTTGCCCTTGCACTTCCCTTCGGGACACTGTTCTCAGGTCTCTGCAGGGCTGCCCCTCCACATCCATCCCGGCAGTGCTAGCTCTAGCTAAAGCATCCCTCACTCCCACCTGCTGGCTCTCTGGCAGCTTGGTGAGGTGTTTTTTACTGGTGCTCAAATGCTGCTTTTGGTTCTTAAATGTGCGGCTGTGCATGACTGCTAAAGCTCCCTGAGCCCCTGGTTGCTGACTGTGAAATGGAAATGATAGTGACATTTACCTCTCGGCCTGTCAGATTAATAAAGTTGCCAAACACATGAAGCACTTAAAATGTGCTAGGCACTCCACTGGTTGTCTGAGTGAACATTTTCTGTTTAGTTCTTAGAACTGCCTGCTGAGATGGGAATTATTATTGTGTTGATTTGGAAAATGAGCTTTAGGGAGATCGTGTGACATTGTCATGGTCACCTAGCTGGCAAGCGTGACTCAGGAGGCCTGATTTAAATCATGCCTTTATTTGCTTTACCCCCGCAGATGAAGCCTTAGCCTGGAAAGCACACAGTGAGGACCAGAGGACTCCGATGCTGCTGTTGCTGTTATCATGGGAATTCGTATCGGTCATTTTCCTCCATTCTTTTAATATGCCGGGGTACTTACTGTCTGCCTTCTGCAGTCCTCGTGGGATTGCCGTTGTTTGTGTCATCTTCACCGGCTTCCCCGCGAAAGGCTTTTCTCCTCCCAGGCACTATTTCACTATATCAAAAGGTAGTATCTGCCTCCCCTCTGAGTCCCACAGAGAAGTCAGCCCTAAAGAGATCTTGTTGATTCAGGCCTGGATCTCTCTGCACCTTGACTAAAGACTGATTGACAGGTTCTGATCCTATCCGACAACACAAGGCCAATAGCAGTACTTCTGTTTGACTTTCCAGATGTTGGTGAGCTTCAAGGATGTGGCTGTGACCTTTACCCAGGAGGAGTGGAGACAGCTGGATCCGGCCCAGAGGACCCTGTACCAAGAGGTGATGCTGGAGACCTGTGGGCTCCTGGTTTCACTAGGTAATGGCTTGCCTGTCATCCCTGAAGAGGACCCTAACCTTCTTGATTATTGGTCCGTCAAAAAGGTCACTGGAACTGTCTACCTTTCCCTTCACAGACCCTGCAGTTTTCTGCTTCCACCTCTTCCTGACTGGTCTCTCTTTGTTTGCATCAGGGATTGCTGGGGTAGGAAATGTCCTTTTAACAGAAACCCTCACTCCAGTGCTCAGCCCGTTCTGAGGTCCTTATTCCAGATTCCACAAGAAGGAAGCTGACTGGCCATCCTGGTGGGGTCAGCTGTAGCCACAGCCCTGTTAGCAGGGGCCATGGGTGATGGGCTATTCTCAGAGAAGGGGGCAAGTCAGGCAGCCCCCCAGAAGACAGCTGTCCTCAGTGTCCCTTGGACGTCTTCCTAAGCAATACCATCTCCATAAAAAGGCATGTGTGTGACTGCATGGTCTTTAGTTGTCTTCTGATGCTGGACATCCATGCTCTGTTGATCCAGGAGGTGTTTTTAAGGGTGCACAGGCGTGTCCTCAAATGGCATGGGTTGATACCCTGATAAAGTCATTCCTTTTACTCTCTGTCCAGCATGCTAATTGTCATAAAAAAAAGCCTCAGATCACCGCTGAGTCTTTCATTTTCCTTTCGCCCCCCAGTGCAGTTCCTTCCTTTTTTCAACAGAGACAGCCTCCCGTTCAGCCCTGAGAAAGCGACATGGGCTTGCTGGGACTTAGTGGCATTTTAAAAATTTTGTTTATTTTGTTGTGATTGCAGACTTCTATGTGTAGGAAGTGAAACTGACTTTCTCATTTATCAGAGCAAAACGGGGTTCCGTTTTAGAATACAAATATTTAAGAGAAAATGGATCAGGATAAAGAAGTTATTAGAAATGATGGCACACCCTGAGTTCAGTTGGGAAGGTGGACATCAATCCACAGATGACAACTGAAATGAGTTCTAGAAAGAAAAATGAGGGGAAACTAGGAAGAAATAACCAGGGAGTCATATCCTCATGTGGGTCCTCCAAAGAGGGCATCTTAGGAAGGGACGGTGGAGCTGAGACCTGGAAGCTGAGTAGGAGTTAGCTGGAGGAAAGGAAGGGTGTTTCAGTGGAGGAGCCAGTGTGTGAAAAGTGACAGGGAGCTCAGCTATCGGCAGAGCCACAGTATCATCTGATTCACCTTTCCCACAGCACTGTCCCAGGGCTCAAAGCCAGGCACGTAGCACACACTGGTGGACCTTACTGAGACACGTCTGAAGGGATCCTGGGCTATGGATCAGAGTCTGCCAGTTGGCATTTCTGTAGGTCCTTGTACCTCAGTCATGGGTCTTCTATACAGAATCCTCCTGTCTTTTACTCACCACATCTAGTGGAAAGCATTTGGCTGCATATAACAGAAAACCAGATCACACTGGCTTCACCTGGAGGGAGATTCACTAACTCACTGAATGAGAAGCCTGGGGTGTGGCTGGCTCCAGGCTTGTTCTGTGCTGACGCCCATGATGCCATCAAGAACGTCAGAGTTCCTTGTTCCTCCTTCTTGGTTCAGGCTTCTGGATTGTGTCCTCAGGCCAGCTCCTCACAGGGATGCTGGGTGCTGCAGCCTTGACAGGGGCAGCAGGCCCCCATGTTCAATCCCTCCTTCCACCCTGGAATAGATGGTGCTTTTCACAATGCGAATCCAGCTTTGGTCACTAGTCTAATGAAGACTCTTGATTTACCAATTTATTTCAACCAGTGGTTTTTCTTTTCCTTTTTTAATTTTTTTGAGATAGAGCCTTATTCTGTCACTCAGGCTGGAGTGCAGTTCACTGCAGCCTCTGCCTCCTAGGCTCAAGCAGTCCTTCCACCTCTGTCCTTTGAGGAGCTGGGACCACAGGTGCGCACCACCACACCCGGCTAGTTTTTTTTGTATTTTTGGCAGAGACAGGGTTTCGTCATGTTGGCCAGGCTGTTCTGAAACTTCCAGCGTCACGTGATCCTCCTGCCTGGGCCTCCTAAAGTGCCGTGATTACAGCAGGAGTCACCACGCCCAGGCTCGGCCAGTGGTTTTCAACCCCATCTGGGCACCACAATCTCTTGTACCCTTTAGAAGTACTGATGTCCAGGTCTCACACAAGGAAATTTTGTTTGATCTGGTCTGAGGTTGGAATCAGGCATCTCTAGGTGGCTCTGAGCATGCAGTGTTTGAGAAGCAATGATTTACATTGTTAGAAGAAAATGCCTTCTAGGGCTCGGTGCAGTGGCTCCCACCGATAATCCCAGCACTCTGGGAGCTGAGTGAGGCAGGAGGATCACTTGAGGCCAGGTGCTCGAGACCAGCCTGACCAACATGGTGAAACCCAGTCTCTACTACGGCAGTTGTAGCCCCATAATGGGATTTGTGCCTGTCTTGATCTACTTGGCTGCCATAATAAAATGTCATGGGTTGGGTGGTGTAAACTACCAGAGTTTATTTTCTTACACTTCTGGAGGCTGGGAAGTCCAAGATCAAGGTGCTGGCAAGTTTGATTCCTGTTGAGACCTCTCTCCTGGCTTGCAGATGGCTGCCCTGCTGTGTTCTCACACGGAGGAGACATCTCTCCCTCTCCTCCTGTTCTTAGAAGGCCATAATCCTATCAGATCAGGGCTCCGCCCTTATGACATCCTTTAATTTTAATCACCTTCTAAAGATCCTGTGTCCATGTACAGCCACACTGGGTGTCAGGGCTTCAGCACGTGACTTTTGCGGGGAGCACGGTTCACTCAGAACAATGCCCTTGATTTTCTGGCCTCACACCAGCATTTTGCTTACTTTCAAGCAGCTTCATTTATGTTCTGGCCCCTGTCACAAAGTCCTAGGCAGGATGCAGAGATTTCATTTTCTCATTAAATCACCCCTGTTCTATTTATTTTGCTATCAACAGGGTACTGGGTTCCCAAAGCAGAGTTGGTCCACCTGCTAGAGCATGGGCAGGAGCTGTGGACAGTGAAGAGCGGCCGTTCACACCCTACCTGTGTAGGTAAGCAGCCCCCAGCTGGTCCGGTAGTCATGGCAGTTTTCAGAGTGTGAGGGCACCACTGCCTCTGCATTTCTGCGTGAGACTGCTCACTGAGGCCTCTCCGGGGCCTGGTGTTTCTGACTCACACTGGGGTATAGTGTACCTAATCAGGTGAGCACTGAGCCACACAGTTATTCATTGACACAGGTACCTTCCACTATAAACAGGAATCTTTATGATTGTTTTGGCTCAATCCAGCTGGTAGAAGGCGAACAAGAAGGGGAGAAGTCATACCCAGTTGTACACATACTTTACAACCACAGGGTGATATAATTTCTGTGTCATTGAGTTGTTAGAGGATGTAGAGATAATTCATGACACCGCTGAGTTTAGTTCCTGGCCCATAGGATCGGCAAATGTCAGCTGTTAGTATTATCCATGTATAGTTTTAATTATAATAAAGTATAATAAATAAAAGTTTAATTATAATAAATAGAAGGGGAGAAGTCATACCCAGTTGTACACATACTTTACAACCACACAGTCTCGACAAGAACTGGGCATTTGGCCACACCTGTATGCTCAGGACTGACAAATGTGATTTGGCTATGTGCCCAAGGAGAAGAGTTAGTGGGTTTGGTTTACATCACCTCAGGTTCCTCTACTCAAAAAAATCAGGGTGATATAATTTCTGTGTCATTGAGTTGTTAGAGGATGTAGAGATAATTCATTACACTGCTGAGTTTAGGTCCTGGCCCATAGGATCGGCAAATGTCAGCTGTTAGTATTATCCATGTATAGTTTTAATTACAATAAATAAAAGTAGTGAGACACTTAAGTGGAAATGTGGGATTGAGGGAATGGGTAGGGAGGCATTTGGAACACACAGGGTTGCAGATGGGGCTGGCTAAGAAGCACGAGAGGAGAGCCCATAACTCAATGGTGATACCAATCCATGAGGCAGATGACTCCAGAGACACTTTTTGTATTTTTAGTAGAGATGGGGTTTCTCCATGTTGGTCAGGCTGGTCTCGAACTTCCGACCTCAGGTGATCCGCCTGCCTCGGCCTCCCAAAGTGCTGGGATTACAGGCATGAGCAACTGCACCTGGCCTTAAAAAAAGTAGTATCACACATTTCTTTCTGGACTCAGAGAAAGGGGACTTTGTTCCCCTTGATATTACTATCTGCATTATGCTATGAATGCCACCTTCTCCATCCACTCATCCATCCTCCAGTTTGACCATCAGACACTCAGAAGCAGCCCTTTGCCCCATATCTTCCTGCTCTTCTTGCCCTGAAAAACACCAAGTAACATTTGGCCTTCTCTGCCCTACATCTGTGCTGATGAGTGTAGCTGGAGCTGTCTGCCTCATGGATTGGTATCACCACTGAGTCATGGGCTGTCCTCTCAGGCTTCTCAGCCAGCCCCATCTGCAACCCTGTGTATTCCAAATACCTCCCTACTCGTGCCCTCAGTACCACATTTCCACTTGTGCCTCAGAGGCACCTCTAGCTCCTGATGCCTAAAAAGACACTCAGTTCAGAGAATGTCTTGCCATCTAAGCAGCTTAGAAAGCTGGAAATGCCACAAGGCTCCTGGATTCCTCCTGACTTCATCAAACCCAGCATCCATGGATCCACAGTCCTGCTCATTTTAAATGATCCGTATCTCCCGAGTCCATCACCTCCACCGCTTTCAATGGCTCCTTCAGCAACACCCTGGCCATGCTCTCATCAGCTTTTGCCTGCGCCCTACCAGACGCTGCTAATGAATCTCCCGACATCAGCCCCACGCTTCTGGGGAGCTCCTGTCCCTGGACCGGCTCTTGGAGCCACCCAGATGTGTTTCAGATTTTCACTGCTTCCCCAGCAGCTGATGTCTCAGTATATAATTTACTTCATTTTGAAAACAGAATAATTATATTTAATGTTCTTAAAGATGCATCTGCCGTCTCCTAGCTGGCTTTTCTTGTCCGTCATGGAGATCTTACCTCTGGCCATGGCCAGTGTCTTTACCAGTGCTTGCAGCATACCTGCTGTGTTCTCAGAGAACCTGATTTTTAACAAAATCTCTGTTTTGTCTGTGCCTTCAACTTCTCTATATTCAACATAAAAAGTGTGCTCAATACAAAAGCAGAAAGTCAATATAAGTTTAAACAACAAAAAAGTGTACCACTGCTTACACTTAGGGAAAACAGACAAAACATTTTTTCACCTACAATAGCCTGTAACTTGCGTTGATCCCACTTATAAAACCAAGCTTCTTGGGGTTGTCTCATGTTTGAAAGAGATGTTTACACTTGACTTTATTTTGTTTAAAATTTCCCAAATAAAAAAGAAATTCTTATGTGTACAATAATATATACAAATCTGAAGAGCTCAGCTTTAATTTTTGCATTTCTACAAATTGAAGAATCCTTCATCTAGGTCAAGATTTGCAGTATTTCCAGTACCTTGGCAATTCCTGTCACCTTGTCTTTGTCGGTAGCTCCTCCCGCAGTGGTAGCCACTGTTTAGACTCTCTCCCTAGGGATTAGTTTGTAATTGGTTGTGAATGGGCGTAATTGGGGCCCCAGAGCATTTTCTCTTTTGTGTGCTGCTGCTTTTCAAGACATCATGATGTCCATGAGCTGAATTCATCCTGTATGCTGTGTACCGTAACACTGTGTGAAAACATCAGGATCTATTTCTTCACTCTCCTATTGGTTGACATTTGTATTGTTTACCTTGTTTGGAGATTATGAAAAATGCTGCTATGAATATTATTTTTCTTTTTTTTTTTTTTTTGAGACGGAGTTTCGCTCTTGTTACCCAGACTGGAGTACAATGGCGTGATCTCGGCTCACTGCAACCTCTGCCTCCTGGGTTCAGGCAATTCTCCTGCCTCAGCCTCCTGAATAGCTGGGATTATAGGCACGTGCCACCATGCCCAGCTAATTTTTGTATTTTTAGTAGAGACAGGGTTTCACCTTGTTGACCAGGATGGTCTCGATCTCTTGACCTCGTGATCCACCCGCCTCGGCCTCCCAAAGTGCTGGGATTACAGGCGTGAGCCACCGCGCCTGGCTGAATATTATTTTTCATAATATTTAGTGCATATAAACACTAATTTCTGTTGCATCTACACCCAGGAGACAGCTGGTGGAGTCGAGAAAGGTCTGTGCTCAGCTTTAAGTCAGACCCCAAAAGATCTTTCCAGAGTAGCCATGCCATTTCCTGTCCCATCCCCACCAGCCAGGTATGAGACTGCTGCTCCACCCATGTCTTCTGAGCATGTGATGTTGGCCACTTTACGAAGCACAGCACTGGAGTTGTTCTTGTTCGTGTCACTGCCATTACCCTAAATGCCCAGTGCAGCAATGAGAATAATAATGAGGATAATGTCTCATTTAACCTCATGACAGCCTGAGAAATTGAACCTCCTAGTCTCTTAGTTGAGGAATTCATCCTCCGATATCAACCCAGTTGACAGAGGCAGGATTTGAACTGAGCCTTTCTGTCTCCGGACCCTCTTGTCCGCCAGGCACTGTGCCTCCTAATGCAGCAGAAACTTGTCAGATCTTACCATGCTTGGCCTTTTGTACCATTTGTTCCTGGGTGTCCTTCTGTCCCTTTTGTGCTGGGTTCTTCATTCTCTTCCTCCAGATCTAAACACCCTTTTACGTTGGTTTCACCAGGCATCTTGTTCCCAAAGGGTGAATGTGCCCATTTTTACTTCCTCACTTTCAACCCCTTGCCCCCTTCCTCTCTCTGGCAGTGACTCTGGCTTCTCTTTTAGGACTCAGCTTACGGGATGCCTCCTCCAGAAAGCCTTCCATCATCTTTTTTTCCTTCCGGTCTTGTTAGGTGCCACTTGCCTAAACTCTCACAGCACCAACGGGCTTCAGTTTTTTTTTTTTTAATTATTATTTTTTTGAGACAGAGTTTCACTCTTGTTGCCCAGGCTGGAATGCAATGGCACGATCTTGGCTCACCACAACCTCCACCTCTTGGGTTCAAGCGATTCTCCTGCCTCAGCCTCCCAAGTAGCTGGGATTACAGGAACGCGCCACAACACCTGGCTAATTTTTGTATTTTTAGTAGACAGGGTTTCTCCATGTTGGTCAGTCTGGTCTCAAACTTCTGACCTCAGGTGATCCACCCACCTCAGCCTCCCAAAATGCTGGGATTACAGGCGTGAGCCACCGTGCCTGCCTTAATTTTTAACTTATGTGGGTACGTAGGTGTACACACTTATGGGGTGCATATTTTGATACAGGCATACAACGCATAATAATCACATCAAAGTGAGGGAAGTTTCCGTCACCTCGAGCATGTATCGTTTCTTTGTGTTACATACAATCAAATTGTATCCTTGTTTATTTTAGAGTATACAGTAAATTATTGTCGACTGTAGCCACCCTGTTGTGCTGTCAATTACTAGGTCTTATTAATTCTTATTTTGGTGCCCATTAACCATCCTCACTTCCTCCCCACTGCCTTTCCCAGTTCAGGTAACCATCTTTCTACTCCCTGTCTCCATGAGTTCAATTGTTTTTACTTTTAGCTCCGACAAATGAGTGAGAACATGTGACGTTTGTCTTTCTGTGCCTAGCCTGTTTCACTTAACATAGTGATTTCTAGTTCCATCCATGTTGTTGCAAATGATAGGATCTCCTTTTTTATGGCCAAATAGTACCCCACTGTGTGTATACACCACATTTTCTTTATTCATTCATTTGTTCATGGACCCTTAAATTGTTTCCAAATCTTGGCTACTGTGCATAATACTGCAATAAACATGTGAGTGCAGATATCTCTTTGATATACTACTATTTTTTTCTTTTGAGCGTATATCTGTATTGGGATTGCCAGATTATATGGTGGCTCTATTTTTAGTTTTTTGAGGAACTTCCAAACTGTTCTCTATGGTAGTTTACTAATTTAAATTCCCACCAATAGCATATAAGGGTTCCCTTTTCTCCACATCCTTGCCACCATTGCCTGTCTTTTGGATAAAAGCCATTTTAACAGGGATGAGATGATATCTCATTGTAGAGATCTCATTTGATTTGCATTTCTTTGATCAATTATATTGAGCACTTTTTCATGTACCTGTTTGCTATTTGTATGTATTCTTTTGAGAAATGTCTATTAGTATCTTTTGCACATTTTAAAATCAGATTCTTAGATTTTTTTCCTATAGCATTGTTTATGCGCCTTAAATATTCTGGTTATTAATCCCTTGTCAGATGAATGTATGTCTTCAACTCTTGAAGCAAATGCTCTTCAGACAATGTCATCAAAATGTATTATCTCTTCCTTACTCTGAACTGTGAAGAGGAATGTCTACTGTGAGTCCTCTGTCCCTTGGTCCAGTCTGCCCTCCAGATTTTCCCTTTAATAGTGTCAAAGATACAAGGACCATCAGAAGTATTTGGAAACTTGGGTTACAGGTGTGAAAATGCAGCAAGTATCACAGGCACTATTTCCATCTTTATTTTCCTACTGAAGTGGTTATTTTGTTTTTTCTGTATTTTATCACTAAAAGTCCCCTCCTCTGTCTGTCAATGCCCTTCAGGTGACAAAGCACAAGTTCAGACCAGAGAGCCAACCACTTACCCACCAGTCTTATCTGAGCGGGCCTTTCTCCGGGGAAGCCTGACTCTGGAATGTTCAAGTGATTCAAGGTTGGGGAGATCTAGGGATCAGGAAGGGCTTTTGGAAATGCAGAAAGGTCAGGTGACACCAGAGATAGACCCCTACAAGGAGACCCAGCTGGGGAAAGCGAGCCTTGAAGGTGAAAGTTTGGAGCCAAATGAGAGTCTGCACTCCAGGGCATTACAAGCGTGGTTATCAGCAGATGTTCTCCATGAATGTGACTCACAGCAGCCAGGGAAAGACACCTTGATCCATGCAGGGACACCCCCCTACAAATGCAAACAGTGTGGGAAAGGTTTTAACAGGAAGTGGTATCTTGTTCGACATCAAAGGGTTCACACGGGAATGAAGCCCTACGAATGCAACGCGTGTGGGAAAGCCTTTAGCCAGAGCTCAACTCTCATTCGGCACTACCTTATCCACACCGGGGAGAAGCCATACAAGTGCCCTGAGTGTGGGAAGGCCTTCAGACGCAGGTCATACCTCATGCAGCACCATCCAGTCCACACTGGAGAGAAACCCTATGAGTGCAGTCAGTGTCGAAAGGCCTTTACCCACCGGTCTACTTTTATTCGCCATAACAGGACCCATACTGGAGAAAAACCCTTTGAGTGCAAAGAATGTGAGAAAGCCTTTAGCAATAGGGCTCACCTAATTCAACACTACATCATCCACACTGGAGAGAAGCCCTATGATTGCATGGAGTGTGGAAAGGCCTTCAGATGCAGCTCAGAACTCATGCAGCACCAGCGGATTCACACTGGGGAGAAGCCCTATGAATGCACCCAGTGTGGGAAAGCCTTTCACCGGAGCACGTACCTCATTCAGCACTCTGTCATCCACACTGGGGAAATGCCCTACAAGTGTATCCAGTGTGGGAAGGCCTTCAAACGCAGGTCCCACCTTCTGCAGCACCAAAGGGTCCATACATGAGAGAACTCTACTGCAATGATTATCGCAAGGCCTTCACCGACTGTTCCTATTTTATCATTCATAATGGGACCCACACAGGAGGAAGAAATCCTCCAAGTGCAAAGAATGCCAGGAAACTTTATTTTTTTTTTTTGTCAGCTCTTTCTTAACTAACACATGAGCAGTTACTCTGGAGAGAAGCCCTGTGAATGAATGCAGTGAACGCAAGGATCCCTTCAGCCACCACTCAGTTCTCACTCATTGCAGACGGATTTGTACCAGAGAGAAATGTGGAAGGCATTCCATCAAAATCAGGTAACTCATGCTGGAGAAAGACATTCAAAATACACCTATTAAGGACGGTCTTTGCCAGAGGAAAATCTTACTGAGAACTCATAAGGAAAAGTTACTACATAATTGTCACCGATGTGAGAAAACTTCCTGTGACCAGGTCGTCAATTACTTGTCCTATAAAGAGCCGTGCTGGAATCTGACCCGCCCTGGGATTTATTCTGTAAACTTATGGAAACTTTCGGTACAGGTATCTTCTTGCTTTATATCCTTACAGACTTCCTTGTAAGATCAGCTTGCTTTCTTTGGTAGGGGAATGTTTGAGAGGTAAAGGGGTTTTGACCCCTTGTTTTTTATATACATTCACTGCTATCCTGTGTCAGAGCTGGACCATGAGGGCAGCTCTTAAAACACTTCTTGGGGGCTGGGCGTGGTGGCTCACGCCTATAATCCCAGCACTTTGGGAGGCCGAGGCGGGTGGATCACGAGGTCAAGAGATCGAGACTATCCTGGTCAACATGGTGAAATCCCGTCTCTACTAAAAATATAAAAAATTAGCTGGGCATGGTGGTGCGTGCCTGTAATCCCAGCTACTCAGGAGGCTGAGGCAGGAGAATTGCCTGAACCCAGGAGGCGGAGGTTGCGGTGAGCCGAGATTACGCCATTGCACTCCAGCCTGGGTAACAAGAGCGAAACTCCATCTCAAAGAAAACAACAAAACAAAACAAAAACACTTACTGGACGCTGCCTCTGATCCAGACATCTCTGGGAGGATATCCGTGAGGAGAGTAATTCTTTGTGAGAAATATGAAGGCTTGTGTCATGAGATTCTTGAATTTCCAAGAACTTAGAATACTGAGAATGTCTTCATGTGACACTTCTACCTTATATCTAAGGTGAGAAGAACCCATGTATGGATGGTCACATTAAAATGTGCACCATATAAGACTGTTTAAGGCTTTGATTTTTATTTATAAACTCAATTATTATTATTAAGAGACAGCGACTTGCTCTGTCAACCAGGCCAGAGTGCAGTGGCATGATCATAGCTCTCTGTAACCTCGAATTCTTGGGCTCAAATGGTCCTCTTGCCTCAAGTTTCTGAGTAGCCTGGGCTACAGACATGCACCACTATACCTGGCTAATTTTTGTTATTTTAGTAGAGACAGGGTTTTACCATGTTGGCTAGGTTGGTCTGGAACTCCTGGCCTCAAGTGATGTGCCTGCCTTGGCCTCCCAAAGTGCTGGGATTACAGGTGTGAGTCACTGCACCCAGCCTTAGTTTTTTTATATAGATTGGTCTTGCTATGCTGCCCAGACTTGTCTCAAACTGCTACACTCAAGTGATCATCCTGCCTCGGCCTCCGAAAGTGTTGGGATTGGAGGTGTGAGCCACCACACCCAGCCTAATATGGTTTCAAATGCTCAGCACTCTCACACGTTCCTGATTCCATTCTATTTGTTGTCCTTGTTTTCTCTGGCAACATAGTCACTTTGTATCTGCCTGGCCCTGTCAGGTGAGTCCTAATTCTTTCTGGTGTTCCTCAGGTTCTTTCATCCTGTGTAGAGGGGTATTTTCAGGTCCGCCTCAGCATTTTTCTAGGGAATAATTAGAGCTAAAACAAGCAAAATAAAACACAGAGGTAAGATGAATCCATGGTAAACCCAGTAAACCCAAGAAAACAACATGGAGAGGAATCTTAGTGTCTGATCTTGTAAACGTTTGTGTGAAGTTTTGCTGCGAAATAAGATGCCTAGCATTTTAACAGGTGAATCAGGATATATGCGTGGAGGTTTATGTGCGTTTCATAGTTAACCACCATTAACTTATTCTCTGGGTGCTAGCAATGAATATGGTGATTTGTTTTGTTTTGAGATGGAGTCTCATTCTGTCACCCAGGCTGGAGTGCAGTAGTGCCATCTTGGCTCACTGCAACCTCTGCCTCCCAACTTCAAGTGTTTCTCCTGCCTCAGCCTCCTGAGAAGCTAGGATTACAGGCATGCACCACCACGCCTAGCTACTTTTTGTATTTTTAGTAGAGACAGAGTTTTGCCATGTTGCCCAGGCTGGTCTCGAACTCCTGACCTCAGGTGCTCCACCTGCCTCAGACTCCCAAAATGCTGGGATTACAGGTGTGAGCCACTGCACTCAACCTGAATATGGTAATTTGAAATTCCTTTTGTGAGATTTTTTTAGAGTTAGTTGTCAAGCTACATGAGAGAATCAGTGTTAGGTTAAAACGTGTATTGTGTGAAAACTAGAAAATTATCATTTTCTCATTCTGAACTTTCCTCCCAGCCTTTAAAGCACTGCATATATATTTCATGTTTTCATAGTAGGCAAGTACGTTTTACTGTGGTGCTTTTACACATATTATGTATTATAAATACAATTCTTGGTGAATTAAGATTCTGTGTTTTTCTTTCTTCAGGACAGAGTGCACAGTTTCCTCTCCTTTGTGAAGGAGAGTTGACTCTTGAGGACCCCGCCCTCCTGCATCCTCTCTCTGGAAGGCTGCATGTATTGTGGCTGTGGCTGTACTTGTACCTAAGGCCCTGGGTTCAAGAGAGTTGGAGAGATCCCTCTAGAAACATACTGGCTATCATCAAAGTGTTCTTTCCAGGCCTCAGGAGTGATGTTTTCCGTGGGATAAAGGACACCCTAGGGTTTTTCTTAGGATCAGTTCTTTCTGTACAGTCTTCACTTCAGTGTTTGGTACGTGGATCTGCTATGAACTTGCTGCTGTGATAGGCAGGAATCTCGTGAGACACCTACCCTTAAGCGCCATGGCCACTCACTGTCGTGGTCACACTTGGAAGACTAGGGTACATGGATGGCTGGGCTATGGGTTCTGCCCTTGAGCAGGGAAGGAACTTCCTGTCTATTATGGGAAAAACACAATGGAACAGCTGCAATATATTAACCTAAGATTGTTTCAGCACCCACTGTTAAGTCAGTAAAAGTTTTGAACTTAATTCTGTATCTTTCCACAAATGCTAAGTTTATGATTAAGATAAAACATGTTTTCATGTTCACAGTTGTTATAACTTTGTTACATTTAATGAGCAAATTATATAAAAGGCACCATGCTCTTACGGTGCTTAATCTGTGGAAAATGCTTGTGGGGCTGGGACTAGTTATGACCATTCACTGTTGCTGTACTTCAGTTAGTAAAGGGTGAATTAATTTAGCAAGTTGGTCGTGCAAAAATGAATTCAAAATTTTTTTTTTGAGATGGAGTCTCACTGTCACCCAGGCTGGACTGTAATGGTGCAATCTTGGCTCACTGCAACCTCCACCTCCTAGGTTCAAGCAAATCTCCTGCCTCAGCCTCCCAAGTAACTGGGATTATAGGCACATGCCACCATGCCCAGCTAATTTTTTTGTATTTTAGTAGAGACAAGGTTTCACCACGTTGCCCAGGCTGGTCTTGAACTCCAGCGCTCAGGCAATCCACCCACCTCAGCCTCCCAAAGTGCTAGGATTTCAGGCATGAGCCACCATGCCCAGCTGAATTAGAAATCTCAATGTCTGTAAGTAAATAAAAAAATGTGTCGGGAAGGATCCTCATCCAGTTATGTGGTACTTGCTTCTTGGGTTTACAGGGAGGGAAGGGATGGAGCAGAGGGGAGTGTCACAGTGAACACTCACTTTAACTTCATGCACATGTGGAAATGTTTGAAATGTCCACAGTAAATTTTATAATTTCAGAAAAACCACTTAAGGTTGAAAAGAGAAATTTAGAAATCACTGATGGAATAAAAACGTAATAGAACTAGAACAGGGAAGGAAATGAAGGAAGCAGGAAGTAAAGCATCAGAAGTAATTTGGAAGAGAGATTCTAAAACGAATGTGAACAACGGAGTGACCAGAAGAGTACAGGCAATTAAGGCAATTAATAGTTTCTTTAAAGAAGCCGTCTCACAGTAGAAGCCTGTTTATTGAAATTGCCGTGGTTATTGTTCACTCTGGCCTTTGAAGAACTGCAGAAATTCACAGGCGACGGCATTCATATGGCAATTGAGTATGTAACTGGAGTTACGGTATCGATTACCCTTTCATCTCCGGTAAGATGGACAGGTGTTTCTGTATCACGGTGTCCCAGACAGTGTTTAGAATTACCCAGCTTTCCAGTTTTTCTTAATTATTTTACAAGTTTAAAGTGATATACAATAGAATATATACCTGGTATTTGCTTCTCAGATTAAAATATATTTGAACATTAATTAATCATTGCCTTTGTTTTTCCTCTTCTGTCAGTGGTCTGCTCATATGTTGGCCTGTCTTTATTTGTATCTCTTTGTATCCTAACTTTTTTTTTTTTGAAACGGAGTTTCGCTCTTGTTACCCAGGCTGGAGTGCAATGGCGCAATCTTGGCTCACCACAACCTACGCCTCCTGGGTTCAGGCAATTCTCCTGCCTCAGCCTCCTGAGTAGCTGGGATTACAGGCACGCACCACCATGCCCAGCTAATTTTTTGTATTTTTAGTAGAGATGGGGTTTCACCATGTTGACCAGGATGGTCTCGATCTCTTGACCTTGTGATCCACCCGCCTTGGCCTCCCAAAGTGCTGGGATTACAGGCTTGAGCCACCACGCCCGGCCTTATTTGTATCCTGTTTACTGCAGTTTTTTGTTTATGGTGGGGCACTTTACTGATGTTAATAAGATTTTCAAGTATATAATATGGGCTAGTCCCTTGATACTATTGACGCCGTATGTATCTTCAGTCTTTTGTTCGTATCTGACTTTGGTTCTGAAGTTTATGGAAGTATTTAATTGGAAAGATATATTTATCAACTGTAATATTTTTGACTTGTTAGGATTTTTGAATACTCAGGCATAAGTCACAAAATTATGCTACTGGCTTTAAAATTAGTTTTAGTTTTGCATTGATTCTTAATCCTTAGTAAGGATTTAAAAAAAGATTATCATACTTTAAGTTCTGGGGTACATGTGCAGACCATGCAGGTTTGTTACACAGGTATACACATGCCATGGTAGTTTGCTGCATCTGTCTCCCCATTATCTACATCAGGTATTGCTCCCAATGTTATCCCTCCCCAATCCCGCTACCCCCTGAAGTGCAGGCTGGCGTCATCTCAACAGTGGCCAGGTTATGGACCCACTGCCTGGAAGTAATCCCTAGAACTTCGCACCTGGGTCTCTGTGACTTACTTGTTTCAAAATTTGCCCCTGGAATGTCTAAGCAAGCACGTAATTAGATAAGCAGGCACTGTGCGTAGCAGCAGCTGGCAGGAAAGGAAGGGAAACAAAGGGTTTCAAAGTAGGTTTCTCGGCTACATTCCAAGATTAGGAAGGAAAGGAAAGAAAAACTTTAAAATACATCTCAAGGCTGGGATACTCAGTTACAGACCTGCCCAGGGTTTGGAGTGAGATTTTTTGTTTTTCGAGATGGAGTCTCACTGTATCGCCCGGCTAGAGTGCAGTGACCACTCCCAGATCACTGCAACTTCCGTTTTCCGGTTTCAAGCAATTCTCCTGCCTCAGCCTACCGAGTAGCTGGGACTACAGGCACGCACCACCACCACGCTGGGCTAATTTTTTATTTTTTATTTTTTGTATTTTTAGTAGAGATGGGGTTTCACCATGTTGGCCAGGGTGGTCTTGATCTCTTGACCTCTTGATCCGCCTGCCTCGGCCTCCCAAAGTGCTGGGATTACAGGCGTGAGCCACCGCCCGGCCTCTAGTGAGATTTTTAAAAATGGAAACAGCACACGTGGCCAGATGCAGTGGCTCATGCCTGTAATTCCAGCACTTTGGAGGCCAAGGTGGTTGGTCAATAAAATTAAAATTTACAACAGCACAGGATGGAGAAAATAACTGGATATATGACTTGCAAGACATATGCAGGGAAAACTAAAACACTGCAGATAAAAATGTAATAAGAGGACTTCCGCCAAGATGGCCAAATAGGAACAACTCCAGTCTGTAGTTCCCAGCGAGAGCAATCCATAAGGCAAGTAATCTGTGCATTTCCAACAGAGGTACCAGGTTCATCTCACTGGGACTGCTTAGACAGTGGGTATAGAGCCAAAAGGACGGAAGCGAAAGCAGAGTGCACTGTCGCCTCACCCAGGAAGTGCAAGGGGCCGGAGAACTCCCTCTCATACAAGGGAAGCCATTAGGGACATTTCCTAATACTCTGGCTCAGACACTGCACTATTCCCACAGCCTTCACAACCTGCAAACCAGGAGATTCCCTCCGGTGCCCATAATACCAGTGCCCGGGGTTTCTAGCACTAAACTGGGTGGCCATTTTAGCCGCAGCAGATTTATTTTTTCATACCCCAGTAATGCCTAGAATGCCATTGAGACAAAATGGCTTATTCTCCTGAAACGGGGCTGAAGCCAGGGAATCAAGTGATCTGGCTCGGCGGGTCCCACTCCCACGAAGACCAGCAAGCGTAAGATCCACTGGCTTGAAATTCTCACAGGCAGCACAGCAGTTTCAGCTTGACCTGGGACATCTGAGCTCGGTGGGGGCAGGGGTGTCCGCCATTGGTGAGGCTCCAGTACGCGATTTTAACCTTGCCTGTGTAAACAAAGTCTCCGAGAAGTTTACACAGCAATTGGGCGGAGCCCATGGCAGCTCAGCAAGGCCTCTGCAGGCAGACTGTCAACTAGACTCCTTGCTGGGCAGGGCATCTCTGAAAAAAGGTAAGAGCCCATCAGGACTTATAAAGCCCCCATCTTCCTGGGACAGAGCACCTGGGAAAAGGGGCAGTGTGGGTTCCGCTTCAGCAGACTTAAACATCCCTGCCTGGCAGCTCTGAAGGGATTTCCCAGCACCGCACTTGAGCTCTACTAAGGGACAGACTGCTTCTTCAAGTGGCTCCCTGACCCTGAAGTATCCTGGCTGGGAGACACCTCATACAGGAGAGCACTGGCTGACATCAGGCAGGTACCCTTCTGGGATAAAGCCACCAGAGGAAGGAACAGGCAGCAATCTTTGCTGTTCTGCAGCACCGCAGGTGACTCCCAGGCAATCAGGGTCTGGAGTAGACCTCCAGCAAAATCCAGCAGACCTGCAGCAGAGGGGTCTGTTAGAAGGAAAACTAACAGAAAGAAATAGCTTCAACATCAACAGAAAGGGCATCCATTCAGAGACCCCATCCAAAAGACACAAACTTCAAAGACCAAAGGTAGATAAATCCATGAAGATGGGAAGAAACCAGTGCAAAAAGGCTGAAATCACCAAAAACCAGAACACTTCACCTCCAAGGGATCACAACTCCTCACTAGCAAGGGAACAAAACTGGATGGAGAATGAGTTTGATGAACTGACAGAGCAGGCTTCAGAAGATGGGTAATAACAAACTTCTCCGAGCTAAAGCATTATGTTCTAACCCAATGCAAGGAAACAACATTGAAAAAAGGTAGACAAAATGCTAACTAGAAAAACTGCATAGAGAAGGGCATAAATGACTTGTTGGAGCTGAAAAACACAGCACAAGGACTTTGTGAAGCATACACAAGTTTCAATAGCCAAATCGATCAAGCAGAAGAAAGGATATCAGAGATTGAAGATCAACTCAATGAAATAAAACAAGACGGCAAGATTAGGGAAAAAAGAGTGAAAAGAACTGAACAAAAACTCTAAGAAATATGGAATTATGTGAAAAGACCAAATCTACATTTGACAGGTGTACCTGAAAGTGACGGGGAGATGAAACCGAGTTGGAAAACGCTCTTCAGGATATTATCCAGGAGAACTTCCCAACCAAACAAGGCAGGCCAACATTCAAATTCAGGAAATGCAGGGAACATCACAGAGATATTCCTTGAGAAGAGCAACCCCAAGGCACATAATCATCAGATTCACCAGGATTGAGATGAAGGAAAAAATGCTAAGGGGAGCCAGAAAAAAAGGTAGGGTTACCCACAAAGGGAAGCCCATCAGACTCACAGCAGATCTCTCAGCAGAAACCCTACACGACAGAAGAGGGTAGGGGGCAATATTCAACATCCTTAAAGAAAAGAATTTTCAACCCAGAATTTCATATCCAGCCAAACTAAGCTTCATAAGTGAAGGAGAAATAAAGTCCTTTACAGACTAGCAACTGCTGAGAGATTTTGTCACCACCAGGCCTGCCTAACAAAGCTCCTGCAGGAAGCATTAAACGTGGAAAGAACAACCAGTACCAGCCACTGCAAAAACATACCAAATCGTAAAGACCATCAACACTATGAAGAAATTGCATCAACTAACGGGAAAAACAACCAGCTAGCATGAAAATGGCAGGATCAAATTCACGCCTAACAATATTAACCCTAAATGTAAATGGGCTAATTGCCCCAATCAAAAGACACAGACTGGCAAACTGGATAAAGAGTCACGACCCATTCGTGTGCTGTATTCAGAAGACCCATCTCACATGCAAAGACACACACAGGCTCAAAATAAAGGGATGGGGGAAAATTTACCAAGCATTAAATAATGAAATGAAGGCAGAAATAAAGACATTCTTCAAAACCAATGAGAACAAAGGTACAATGTACCAAAATCTCTGGGACACATTTAAAGCAGTGTCCAGAGGGAAGTTTATAGCAATAAATGCCCACAAGAGAAGCGAGGAAAGATTTAACACTGACACCCTCATGTCATGATTAAAAGAACTAGAGGAGCAAGATCAAACAAATTCAAAAGCTAGCAGAAGACAATAAATAACTAAGATCAGAGCAGAAAAGAAGGAGATAGACACACAAAATAACCTTCAACAAATCAATAAATCCAGAAGCTGGTTTTTTGAAATGATCAACAAAATAAATAGTCCACTAGCCAGACTAATAAAAAAGAAGAGAGAAAAATCCAACAGATGTAATAAAAAATGATAAAGGAGGCTGGGCGCAGTGGCTCACACCTGTAATCCCAGCACTTTGGGAGGCTGAGATGGGTGGATCACAAGGTCATGAGTTCAAGACCAGCCTGGCCAAGATGGCAAAACCCCATCTCTTAAAAAAAAAAGATAAAGGGGATATCACCACCGATCCCATAGAAATACAGACTGCCATTGGAGATTACAACGAACACCTCTATGCACATAAACCAGTAAATCTAGAAGAAATGTATAAATTCCTGGACACTTACACCCTCCTAAGACTAAACCAAGAAGAAGTTGAATCCCTGAATAGACCAGTAACAAGGTCTGAAGTTGAGGCAGCAATTAATAGCCTACCAACCAAAAACAGTCCAGGTCCAGATAGGTTCACAGCCAAATTCTACCAGATGTACAAAGAGGAGCTGGTTCCATTCCTTCTGAAACTATTCCAAACAATACAAAAAGAGGGAATCCTCCCTAACTCATTTTATGAGACCAACATCATCCTGATACCAAAACCTGGCAGAGACACAACTAAAAAAGAAAATTTCAGGCCAATATCCATGCAGAACATTGATGTGAAAATCCTCAAATACTGGCAAACCGAATGCAGCAGCACATCAAAAAGCTTATCCATCATGATCAAGTCGGCTTCATCCCTGGGATGCAAGGCTGGTTCAACACAAATCTATAAATGTAATCCATCATAAGCAGAACCAAAGACAAAAACCAAGATTATCTCAACAGATGGAGAAGGCCTTCCACAAAACTCAACAGCCCTTTATGCTAAAAACTCTCAATAAACTAGGTATCAATGTAACGTATATCAAAAATAATAAGAGCTATTTACGGCAAACCCACAGCCAATATCATACTGAATGGGCAAAAACTGGAAGCATTCCCTTTGAAAACTGGCAGCAGACAATGATGCCCTCTCTCACCACTCCTATTCAACATTGTATTAGAAGTTCTGGCCAGGGCAATCAGATATGAAAAAGAAATAAAGGGTATTCAATTAGGAAAAGAGGAAGACAAATTGTCACTATTTGCAGACTATATGATTGTATATTTAGAAGACTGCATTGTCTCAGCCCAAAATCTCCTTAAGCTAATAAGCAATTTCAGCAGAGTCTGAGGATACAAAATCAATGTGCAAACATCACAAGCATTCCTATACACCAATAACAGACAGAGAGCCAAATCATGAGTGAACTCCCATTCACAATTTCTACAAAGATAATAAAATACCTAAGAATACAACTAACAAGGGATGTGAAAGACCCCTTCAAGGAGAACTACAAACCACTGCTCAAGGAAATATAGAAGATACAAAGAGATGGAAAAACATTCCATGCTCATGGTTAGATAGAATGAATATCGTGAAATGGCCATACTGCCCAAAGTAATTTACAGATTCACTATCTCCATCAAGCTACCATTGACTTTCCTCACAGAATTGGAAATAAGCACCTTAAGCTTCATATGGAACCAAAAAAGGGCCCACATAGCCAAGACAATCCTAAGCAAAAAAAGAAAAAAAAAAGCTGGAGGCATTACACTACCTGACTTCAAACTATACTACAAGGCTACAGTAAAAAAACAGCTTAGTAGTGGTACCAGAGATATAGACCAGTAGAACAGAACAGAGGCCTCAGATACAATGTCACAAATATACAACCATCTTTGACAAACTTGACAAAAACAAGCAATGGGGAAAGGATTCCCTATTTAATAAATGGCGTTGGGAAAACTGGCTAGCCATGTGCAGAAAGCTGAAACTGGACCCCTTCCTTATACTTTAATCCATCTGGCATTAATTTCTGTATAAAGATTTAAACATAAGACCTAACACCATAAAAACCCTAGAAGACATAGGCAATACCATTCAGCACATATGCATGGGCAAGGACTTCATGACTAAAACATCAAAAGCAATGGCAACAAAAGCCAAAATAGACAAACGGGACCTAATTAAACTTAAGATCTTCTGTAAAGCAAAAGAAACTATCATTAGAGTGAAACGGCAACCAACAGAATGGGAAAAAATTTTTGAAATCTACCTATCTGAAAAGGGCTAATATAAGAATAAAACAACCCCATCAAAAAATAGGTGAAGGATATGAAGACATTTTTCAAAAGAAGACATTTATACAGCCAACAAACATATGGGGAAAAAAGGCTCATCATCACTGGTCATTAGAGAAATGAAAATCAAAACCACATTGAGATACCATCTCACGCCAGTTAGAATCACGATCATTAAAAAATCAGGAGACAACAGATGCTGGAGAGGACATGGAGAAACAGGAAAGCTTTTACAGTTAGTGGGACTGTAAATTAGTTCAACCATCGTGGAAGACAGTGTGGCGATTCCTCAAGGATCTAGAAATAGGAATACGATTTGCCCCAACAATCCCATTACGGGGTATATATCCAAATGATTATAAATCATTGTATCATAAAGACACATGCACACACGTTTATTGTGGCACTGTTCACAATAGCAAAGATTTGGAACCAACCTGAATGCCCATCAATGATAGACTGGATTAAAAAAAAAAAGTGGCACATATACACCAGGGAGTACTATGCAGCCACCAAAAAGGACAAGTTCATATCCTTTGTAGGGACATGGATGAAACTGGAAATCATTATTCTCAGCAAACTGACACAAGAACGGAAAACCAAACACCACATGTTCTCACTCATATGGGGAGTTAAACAATGAGAACACATGGACACAGGAAGGGGAACGTCACACATCAGGGCCTGTTGCGGGGTGAGGGGCTAGGGAGGGACAGAAGGGGGGGGGGGACTGGGGAGAGATAGCATTAGGAGAAACACCTAATGTAGATGAAAGGGTGATGGATGCAGAAAACAGTCATGGCACATGTATACCTATGTAACAAACATGCACATTCTGCACATGTACCCCAGAATTTAAAGTATAATAAATAAATTAAATTTAAAAAATTTAATAAGGCCTAAATCAGAGGCTACATATCTCATCTTTAGGAATTAGAACACTCAATGTCCTTCTTTAGATCCATAGGTAAAGTGCAATGCCAATAAAAATCCTAGTTTTTAAATTTCTTTCTGTATAAATTGACAAGTGGATTTATAATTGGTATTAAAATGCACAGGAACAAGAACGGTCAAAACAACTTTGAAAAAGAGGTTGTAGTAGTACATGGCCATGATTTCAAGACTTTATAAAAACACATCACTAAACACACAAAAGTACGGCCAAAAATACAAATATATAAATTTAACAGAGTAGAAAGTACAGCTCAAGCCTGTAATCCCAGCACTTTGGGAGGCCGAGGTGGATGGATCATGAGGTCAAGAGATCGAGACCATCCTGGTCGACATGGTGAAACCCCGTCTCTACTAAAAATACAAAAATCAGCTGGGCACAGTGGCACGTGCCTGTAATCCCAGCTACTCAGGAGGCTGAGGCAGGAGAATTGCCTGAACCCAGGAGGCGGAGGTTGTGGTGAGCCGAGATCGCGCCATTGCACTCCAGCCTGGGTAACAAGAGCGAAACTCCGTCTCAAAAAAAAAAAAAAAGAAAGCACAGAAGGAAATATACACAAATGATTAGCTGACATTGAATAAAGGTACAAAACCAACTCATTGAAGAATAATCTTAAATCAATGTTGGTGCAGCAAATGGGCATCCTCCATGTTTTAAAAATAACAGAAAAATTAAGAAAATATGATCAAAGACACAAATAAAACATCTAAACTGTAAAAGTTTCAGAAGGGAACATAAAAAAATTGTGTTTTTAAATTAGGAATACTTTTGTTGTTTTTGAGACAGAGTCTCACTCTTTTTGCCCAGGCTGGAGTGCAGGTGGTACAGTCTCGACTCACTGCAACCTCCACCTCCTGGGTTCAAACAGTTCTCCCACCTGAGCCTCCTGAGTAGCTGGGATTACGTGTGCCCACCACCATGCCCGGCTAATTTTTGTATTTTTAGTAGAGATAAGCTTTTGCCATGTTGGCCAGGCTGGTCTCAAACTCCTGACCTCAGGTGATCCCACCCACCTCAGCCTCCCAAAGTGCTGGGACTGCAGGTGTGAGCCACCACCTGAGGAATGCATTTTTAAATAGCACCTAAATAACGATCAGTAAAAAAACACACAGACAAATTAGACTTCACCAATATTGAGAACATTTTATTTGGAAGACTGAAATAAGGTGAATCAAAAGGCATAATATAGAATATATACACACATATTTCTAAGACAAGACACTTACTGAAATTACATTAATATCAAAACCCATTATTAGCCAATAAGTCATACAAACAAAATTCTTTTTTTTTTTTTAGTTTCTAGTTTTATGTCTGTTTACTATTTTTTTTTTTACAAACAGAATTCTTAAAAAGATAGGTTTTGTGTATGAAAACTGCACTTCAATGTTGTAAGATAAACTGTTCCACACAAAAATATGCATCTACTTCTCCTTTTGGAAAACCAGACTATAGGGTAACACAAGATTTACTTATGATTAAGGATTCATCTCCTCACAGGTTAGGAAGGACAGCCTTCTCAGCAACAGCAACAAATGGGAAGTAACGAAGATAATTCCTACCTGGCACAACGGACCTGGTTGAATCACAAAAACCACATATCTGGAAGGCAAGGTCTATGTTCAATCAAATCCTGCTTTCCTGCTTGTGCAGCAATCGTCTCAAAAACAGTACAGAAGTTACGGGAGTCCACAAAATCTTTAGATGACTTATTCTGACGATGACTGTTGCCACGGGAGAAACAAAGATCTGAGGTCCTGAGAATCTCTAGATACCACCAAACCGTGAAGCCACATTATCATAGATATTTCTGGGTGTACTTTTGGATGGAACACATTTACTCTTCTTGGCTACAATCTTTTCCACCCTCTATTTATCACAGCTACCTGTCTGGGCCAATTACTGTTCTCACCTGGCCCCAGGAGGTCTTAGAACCAGTTACCTGCCTACCAATTCTGTCCTTCAGTGCTCACGGCTACAATGAAGGATCTGGGAAAGAAGATGCCATGAACAACATTAGGAAATATGGAGCATCACTGCAAATAAACAATTCACGCAGGTCTCAGCATTTGTCACAAATGCCTCTTCTCAGGGAGACCTCTGGACCTAAAAATAAATTTGGCATCAACACCATGATTAGGACCACGAAGCTCTGCTGTCTTTCGTAGGAGACCTTTGAAACCAATAAAAATTAAGACAAACAGGACTAAGAACTATTTTCTGATCTCATACTATGTCCTTGGGGGCACAGAAAATTGGAGCTGTTCACCCTTCACACTGGCAGAACAGGGTGAGACAGTCCATTTCCCTCTTCAGTAACATGTACGAGGGCATATCCTACCTACCGTGGTCATCATGTTAAAAAAAATACCTATGAAGAAGGTAAACCTCCATGGGCTACAAGAATCCAGATTGCTCTTCTTGGTCAAAGCTGGGTTTCGTCTATGCCTTGATCAGTTCAGCAAGATGGAAGAGGACTCTCAATAAGCTTTTACTATTCATTATTCCCTTCAGAATTAGATGAGCAAAAATGTCTGCATTCCTTGGGCACATGTGAGTGACTGATAAACTACGAGGATATGCCACATGGTAGTAATGTCTGTTGTAACACTGAGCAGATTAGAAAGTACAAGTAATCTCCAGAAAGCTTCCCAAGCATTTGGACCTTGTAGTGACTCTTTCAAGTATTGATATGCAAATATATGAGGTTCAATTTCTATCTGTTGGATCCCTTGAAAAACTGGCTCTCTGGTGTGTTATGGTGAATGAGATAATGGCACATCCCAACACTGCTAGGGCTCTTCTCTTGTATGAACTTTCTGGTGCCTGACAAGGGAATATCTTTTGTTGAAGGCTTTCCCACATTTACCACACTCATATGGCTTTTCTCCAGTGTGGATTCGCTGATGCTCAACAAGTTTGTTTTTATAGATAAAGGCCTTTTCACATGCAGTGCAGTTATAAGGCCTCTCTCCACTATGAACTTTCTGGTGTTGAATGAGGCTGGTGCGGTGTCTAAAGCATTTCCCACATTCACTGCACTCACAGGGCTTTTCTCCAGTGTGAACTTTCTGGTGCTCAAGAAGTCTTTTTTGATGGCTGAAGACTTTTCCACATTCATTGCACTCATAAAGTTGTTCTCTAATATGGATCCTTTGGTGCTGAAGAAGTTTAACCTCAAGGTAGAAGCCTTTTCCACATTCACTACATTCATAAGGCCTTTCTCTAGTGTGGATTTTGTGGTGCTTAAGAAGTGTTTGTTTGGAAATGAAGGCTTTCCCACATTCACTGCATTCATAAGCCCTTTCTCCAGTGTGAATTCTCTGGTGTCGCATGTAGTCAGATGAGCGGATAAATGATTTCCCGCATATGATGCACACATAAGGCTTTTCTCCAGTATGAATTCTCTGGTGCTCAAGAAGTCTTTTTTTGTGGATGAAGGCTTTCCCACATTCTTTGCACTCATAAGGCCTTTCTCCCGTGTGGATTCTCTGGTGATCAAGAAGTGACTGTTTGTATATGAAAGATTTCCCACATTCACTGCATTGATAAGCCCTTTCTCCAGTGTGTACTCTCTGGTGTCGAATGCAGTCATAGGAATGAATAAAAGATTTCCCACATTCGATACATACATAAGGCCTCTCTCCGGTGTGGATCCTCTGTTGGTGCCCAACAAATGTTTGTTTGTGGCGGAATGATTTCCCACATATATTGCACACATAAGGCTTTTCTCCATTATGGGTTCTCTGGTGTTCCACAAGTGAGTATTTGGAGCTCAAGGATTTCCCACATTCGATGCATACATAAGACCTTTCTCTAGTGTGAATTCTCTGCTGGTGCCCAATGAGTGTTTGTTTATGGAGGAACGATTTCCCACATATGTTGCACACATAAGGCTTTTCTGCCTTATGGGTTCTCTGGTGTTCAACAAATGAGTGTTTAGAGTTCAAGGATTTCCCATATTCCCTATGTTTATAAGCTTTTTCTCCAGTGTGGACTCTCTGATGATCAGTAACATAAATCTTCTCACTGAAAACCTGCTCACATTTGCTCCATTTGTAATGTCTTTGTTGAAAGGTCTCCCTGCTTCTATGTGCATGCTCTTCTCGGCTGTGGGTAGTCTGGTGTTGGAGAAGGCCCAGGATGGTTGGGAAATCCTTCTCAACATCTTTACATGGGAAAAGATTGTCTGGCAGAGGAATTTTGCAGCTACTCAGAAGCAAGGCACCGCTCTCCTCCTTTCTGACGTGTTTCTCTCCACTGTGCTGGTTTCGGTGCTGTTGCAGGTTAGAACCAAATGAAAACCATTTCCCACTGGCTGCAGAAGTGTAAGGTTTCTGCCAGGGAAGTGTTCCCTGGTGCTCAGTGAGGTACAAAATGTCTTTCATGACCAGAATACACATCTCACAGGAATGAGCATTTGGGATGGAAGAACTTGGCTTTGGAGTCCTGGCCTGTGACACTGTTTCTACAGAAACAATCTGCTCAGAAGGGGCCTCCTCAGCTCCTATTCCATGCAAACAACCTAAAAGCATAAAAATGCAAGTGAAGTGTATGCAGACTTTGGTGGAAGGGAACAGCCCCATTACAAATACCTGTGGAACACAGGGAGGGATGAGCACTTTTTTTTTTTTTTTTTTTTTTAGAGATAGGGTCTTGCTCTGTCACCCAGGCTGGAATGCAGTTGCATTCACAGCTCACTGCGGCCTTGACCTTCCAAGCTCCAGTGACACTCCCATCTCAGCCTCCTGAGTAGCTGAGACTACAGGCACACACCACCATGCCCAGCTGATTTTATTTTAGAATTTTTTGTGGAGATGAGGGTCTCACATGTTGCCCAGGCTGGTCTCAAATTCCTGGGCTCAAGTGATGCTCCCACCTCAGCTTCCCCAAGTGCTAGGATTATAGGCATGAGCCATTGCACTCAGCCCATACGTTTGTTTTCAGCAAGGGAAAGGAGTCAGGTCAAGGAAGACACTATTTGCAGTAATAGGCCTCTTAAGGTCACCATGTGAAGGAGGACCATACCAGAGAGAACAAAGAACAGGGTGCTGTGGTGGAAAGAGAGGCAAGGACACCTACAACTCACTTCTCTGTCATTGGTTTTCAACAGGGCATTGTCTCATGGAGACAGGGGAGACCTACATAGAATGTGTCACCCCAGGAAAGTGCAATTACAACTCAATAGCTGATGTTTGAGAACTGAAATAGTCTCTGATTTCAGTGGTTGAACTTATGATTTTTCCACTTTATGATGGTATAAAAATGATATGCATTCAGTAGAAACCATACGTTGAATTTTGAACTTTTCCCAGGCTACTGACACGCAGTGTGTATACGACTGTGATGTAGTGGCAGCTACAGCTCCCAGTAAGCCATGCAGTCACAAGGCTAAACAACGGGTACTCTACTGTATTGCTAAGCTAGGATGGCTAGTAAGTTGTGTGTATTAAACACATTTCTGACTTACAATATTCTCAACTTACAGTGGGCTTAGCAGGATATAACCCCATCATGAGCTGACGAACATCTGCACATGCACAGCTCATAATATTAAATTTATTAAGCATATGCTGATGTTGGGGAACATTGCAAAATAGGAACAGGAGAGATGTGGAGAACAGAAGCAGGGGACAATCACAGTAGAAATGCCAGTAGGCAAAATGTCAAGTAGGCAGAGAAAAGAGAAAAATGAGGTATGCCCATGAACCCTGGCACTAAAATAGTAGGAAACACAGGACATTTGCCTGGTATGATTTGAGTTCAGCCCTGAAATCATGTCCTCCCACTGCTCCCACTCACAGGTCCCAAACCTTGTCAACTCCCCTTGCTGTGGTTGAAGACTTCACTACCCCTTCAGAAACACAGGGCTCCCTCCTGTCCTTGGCTTAAGTTAGGAGACTATCTGGGTCCTGGAAGGCAGAAGTCTCAAGGGAAAAACGGAGGTGAGTCACTAACACTGGCCCAGAGTGCATCAACCCATGACAGACTACAGGAGGGATATTTATTTATTTACTTATTTATTATTATTTTTTGAGACGGAGTTTTGCTCTTGTTACCCAGGCTGGAGTGATCTCGGCTCACCGCAACCTCCGCCTCCTGGGTTCAGGCAATTCTCCTGCCTCAGCCTCCTGAATAGCTGGGATTACAGGCACGCGCCACTGTGCCCAGCTAATTTTTGTATTTTTAGTAGAGACGGGGTTTCACCATGTTGACCAGGATGGTCTCGATCTGTTGACCTCATGATCCACCCACCTTGGCCTCCCAAAGTGCTGGGATTACAGGCTTGAGCCACCGCGCCCGGCCTGACATTTATTTTTTAAAAAGCCTTGGTAGAGGGTCTTGCTGTCATAGTCTAGAAATCCCTACAAATAGCAACCATGTGAGTACCTGTGGTTCCTGAGACGGGCAGGTCCAAAGACAAGTCTACTAAAGGTAGGGGAGAACCTATAGCACGGGTCCGCCACAGAACTGAACAGTTACCTTACCAAGGCACGGCAAAACCAAGTGGTATCGGTTGGGCAGGTTACAAGAGTCTGCGCCCAAACTCTTAACTAAGAGGCTTCAGGACAGTAGATGCTACGGCTGGAAAAAGCCCAGGCCTGGCAACCACAGCACCTATGTCATCCACAGGTCAAGAAACCAGGGAAAGAAGCAGGGCCCACGTCCAGCTCTGGAAAAGACAAGGAAACTCCTGGAAAAAGGGGAAGAGCAGAGTCCAACACAGGTCAATGGTGTGGTTTTAAGAGATCTTACCCACTGAGGTCATAAGCGAAAAGTTCTCCAGCATCACGTCATGATACAGGCACCTCTGAGCTTCATCAAGGAGGCCCCACTCCTCCCGGGAGAAGTACACAGCAATATCCTCAAAGGTCACATGGCCCTGCATGATGGGGGCAGGTGAGATCATAAGCAGACTCAATCCCCAGGAACCCCAGTAAATCTCCCTCCTCCCTAGTTCTCCAACTCAGAGGACATACCAGGTCCTAATGGTATCTCCCCCTGGGCTCTCGGTCTGACATAATGGAATCTCACTCATGTTCCTGCTATTTCACCTCCCTGGAGACCCAGATATACTGAAACCTGTGCTTACTCTGTTGGCTTGAAGTGTCAGTACAAGGATCCTGAGTACACCCCTACTCCCTCCCCATGTGAATACCACTCACGGGAACAAAGCTCCCTCGCATCTCCAGACCATGACTGCTACACCCTAAACTCCACTGCCCTCAGCATCCAGGACAAAGTATTTCACTGGCTTCTCCACGTGCCACTCTGCTCCAGGGCCGCAGGCAGCACTTGCAACATGCAACAAGGATCCAGCACATCGATGTTAGACCCAATTCAGGGGCAGTCTCAGGACTGCTGTGAAGTCTTCTCCATCTGGCCTGGCTCTTTGTTCCAGTTTCAGTCACTCAGAACTTGTGTGAGCTCAGTTGCCGAAGCCCACTTCTGTCTCCGTGTTGCCTGTGCTGTCCCCAGTCGTCACCTCTTTCCTCTCCCCACCTATGTACTCAGTCAAAGCCTGGCCCCACCACATGCTGAATGACTCTCCTAGCCAATCTCATCTGCCTTTAACCTAATCTGTCACCCTGTCTGAAACTACTCAGGCCCCACCAACAGTTACCAACAAAAGTCTGAGCCAGCAGACGGAGAAAAAGCACCAGGCCTGACCTTGGTGTCATTTGACTTCCAGTACTGCTTTGCCTCTGAATGAGTCTCTTAACCATTGCCCATTTAAAAATTGTGCCAACAGCTAGACACCCTTTTCATCCAACCCCCACACAGCCATGGTCACTACTCTTCTTCATCTGTCTTAGTGATGTTCCCACTTCTATCTAGGTGACATGCGAGACCCAGTCATTACAGAACACTCTTTACATCCTTCCTCGTGTTGGCCTTGCCACTATGGCCTAAAGAGTGCTCCCGTTAAATCTACAATGGTCCACATGCCAGCCACTGGCTGATGGATAGCTTTCACTCGGATCCCTTCCCTGAACTCCACATGTCTGTCTCTGGCTGTGCACCTGACACCACCACTAAGGGTGGAGACTCCATATTGTGGAGGAGTCTCCATATTGTGACAGGAGACTCCATATTGTGACAGGAGACTCCATATTGTGACAGGAGACTCCATATTGTGAAGGCCTAACTCCTGGACTTTGGTTTCCTATCTTGCACGTAAGGAGCTTAGAAGTGGCCACTCCACCACAATAGCAAGTAAAGAGTTAAACAGACTGAAAAATGGACAGCTCTTCTAGGATCCACAGGAAAGATCAGGACACACCGCTGCCCCCAAGACTGGAGAGAAAAACAAGGGAATACAGGAGAATCAAGGCTTACAGGAGCAGAAACTCATGAAAGGAAATCACCATGCAAACCCTCGCCAGGTTAAGAAAACACAGTCTATAATGCATAAATTGCTGGAAGCTCTGTGTGGACAATTCTGTGAGCTGAAAATTCAAGAGACACTCAGTGATAGCCCCCACAATCTTGCAATATTTACCTCCAGGGTCTTAAACAAGTTCTCATGGTAAATACTGGGGAAAAAAAAAAACCCTTATGCTTCCAGCAGAGAGGAGAAAATGAATCATTTTAAAATATGCCATAGCAACGTGTTCCTCTAAACGAAGCCTGTCCTCCGGAGACAAGAGTTAACCAGAGCTTAACGTGCAGAGGTATGATGGGAGCCCAGTCTTACCTAGTGATAGACTAGGGAAATAACCAACTACAGCCCATTCTAGTAATCCTCTTCCACATAATGGGAGACAAAAAGCAAAACAAAACAAAATTTAGAGACGTGAATTTCAGTCAAGAGGAACAGGCTCACTAAAACACTGAGACCTACCAGCAGGACTTAAAATGCTTCCCCCGCCCACTGGCACACCTCGCCACCACATTATTAAATGCCTATTTACAGGAATTCCTTTTACTGAGGTCATAGTGTCTACCTATCAAGAAAACATCAGAAGCACTTTGGGAGGCCGAGGCGGGTGGATCACGAGGTCAAGAGATCGAGACCATCCTGGTCAACATGGTGAAACCCCATCTCTACTAAAAATACAAAAAATTAGCTGGGCATGGTGGCGCGTGCCTGTAATCCCAGCTACTCAGGAGGCTGAGGCAGGAGAATTGCCTGAATCCAGGAGGTGGAGGTTGCGGTGAGCCAAGATTACGCCATTGAACTCCAGTCTGGGTAACAAGAGCGAAACTCCATTTAAAATAAAATAAAATTAGCTGGGTGGGTAGCACATGCCTGTGGTCCCAGCTACTGGTGAGGCTGAGACAGGAGGATCGCTTGATCCCAGGAGACTGAGGCTGCAGTGAGTTGTGTTCATGCCACTGCACTCCAGCCTGGGTGACAGAAGGAGAGCCTGTCTCAAAAATAAAACAAACAAAAACAAGGGAGAGGAGAATGGAATTAAGATGATCTATCTTGTTATAAAACACTCAAAGTACCTATGAAATGTTATAGTGCTATTTGAATAATACGGACTTAGATTAGTTGCAAAAGTATATTGCAGCCGGGCATGGTGGTACACACCTGTAATCCCAACACTTTGGGAGGCTAAGGCAGGCAGGTCACTTGAGGCCAGGAGTTCGAGACCAGCCTGGCCAATGTGGCGAAACCCTGATTGCTACAAAAAAATACAAAAATTAGCTGGGTGTGGTGGCTCATGCCTGTAGTCCCAGCTACCTGGGAGGCTAAGCTGGGCAGATCCCTTGAGTCCTGGAGAAGGAGGTTGCAGAGAGCTGGGATTGTGCCACTGCACTCCAGTCTGGACACCAAAGCCAGACCCGGTATCAAAAACAAAACCCAAAAGACAAAACAAAACAGTAAGGGCAACAAATAGTAAACAGTAACAAATATGGTGCAAGCTACTCCAACTACATCAACAATCACTGCGAATGTCAGTAGTCTAAGCGTACCTGTATGAAAACAGATGGTCAGAATGGATCAGTAAACAAGGCCTAACTATATGTTGTCTAAAAAAAAAATCACCTTACATATAAAGACACATGGCCGGGCGTGGTGGCTCAAGCCTGTAATCCCAGCACTTTGGGAGGCCAAGGCGGGTGGATCACGAGGTCAAGAGATCGAAACCATCCTGGTCACATGGTGAAACCCCGTCTCTACTAAAAATACAAAAAATTAGCTGGGCATGGTGGCGCGTGCCTGTAATCCCAGCTACTCAGGAGGCTGAGGCAGGAGAATTGCCTGAACCCAGGAGGCGGAGGTTGCGGTGAGCCAAGATTGCGCCATTGCACTCCAGCCTGGGTAACAAGAGCGAAACTCCGTCTCAAAAATATATATATATATATGTATATATAAAGACACATATAGATGAGAAGTAAATGGATGGCCTTTTAGTCTGTTCTGTGTTGCTATAAAGGAATAACTGAAGCTGAATAATTTATAAAGAAAAAATGTATATTTGGTTCACAGTTCTGCAAGCTCAGAAGCATGGTACTAATATCTGCTTCTGATGAGGACTTCAGGAAGCTTCCACTCATGGCAGAACGAGAAGTGGGGGTTGGCAAAACATGGCATAAGCATGACAGAGCGGGGGAAGTGCCAGGCCCTTTTAAACAATCAGAGCTCATAGGAACTAACAGAGGAGGAAATCACTCATTACTCTGAGGAAAGCATCGAGCTGTTCATGAAGAACGTGCCCTTGTGACCCAAACACCTCTTACGAGGCCCCCCAATACTGGGTATCAAATTTCAACATGAGATTTGAAGAGCATATTCAAATTGTAACAGATGGAGAAAAACATTCCATGGTAATATGGCAATTAAAAAAAATATGAGAAGCCTTATTAATTTTACATCAAACTTAACGGCAAGGAAAGTTATCAGAGATAAAGAAGATTACATAATGATAAAGGGGTCAGTTTCCAAAAAGACGTAAGAATCCTTAACACATACATGCCTGACCACAGAGCATCAAACTCTATGAGGCAAAAACTGACAGATCTTTAAGGAGAAACAGATCAATCCACCGTCATAATTGAAGCCTTCCACACTCGGTTACTGACAGGTCCAGGAGGCAGAAAACCAACCAATAGCTGAGTTCAACACCACCATCAACCAACTGGACATAATCAACATCTTTAGATTATTTTGCCCAACAAGAACAGAATACACACTCTTCTTACAACTCACACGGAATATTCAACAAGACAGACCACACTCTGGGCCTGTTTTATACATCTTTAAAACTTCCTATTTTCCTGATGCTTCAACATCCCCAACACACTGTGAGCAACACACCCTGGTGAGCAGGTACCCAGTGTGCTAAGCCTGGTCCCCGTCACAACCGCCCCTTCTTTTTCTCACTTGACTGTGACTGAACCATATTCAAACACGCTAAGAAAAGCACCTGCCCACAGGTCCTTGTGCTCCCTCTTGGCTCCCTGCCTGCTTGATTGGGTCTGCTCCTTAAGAGCTCCTCCCATATGGATTCGTGCATGGTTTGCTGTGCCACACTCTATGAGAATCTATGAATATAATAAATCCTTTTTTTTTTGAGACGGGGTTTCGCTCTCGTTACCCAGGCTGGAGTGCAATGGCGCGATCTCGGCTCACCGCAACCTCCGCCTCCTGGGTTCAGGCAATTCTCCTGCCTCAGCCTCCTGAGTAGCTGGGATTACAAGCACTCACCACCACGCCCGGCTAATTTTTTGTATTTTTAGTAGAGACGGGGTTTCACCATGTTGACCAGGATGGTCTCGATCTCTTGACCTAGTGATCCACCCGCCTCGGCCTCCCAAAGTGCTGGGATTACAGGCTTGAGCCACCGTGCCCAGCCAATAAATCCTTTAATCCGTATGCCTCTCACAGTTTAATTCCCATGGCAGTGTTGGAATGATCCTAGAGACCCCACGAAGGGCACCTACTCCCCCATTTATAATACACATTCATAAAACACATCTTAATAAATTTAACAGAAATAATACAATGTTTGCTCTGTGATCACAATAGAATTAAATTAGAAAGCAGTAACAGAAAGATAGCTGGCAAATCCCAAAATACTTGGGAGATTAAACAAGACTTAACACATGGAGCAAAGAAGAAATACTCAAGATAAATTTAAAACTATTTTGAACTAAATGACAATGAAAACACAACTCAGAATTTGTGAGATGCAGTGGAAGCGGTGCTTAGAATAAAACTTACAGCACTGGATACCTCCACAGTGGTGCCCGCTCTTATCCATGATTTTGTTTTCCACAGTTTCATTTACCAGTGGTCAACTGTGCTCTGAAAATATTACACGCATAATTCCAGAAATAAAAACCTCCTAAGTTATAAATTACGTGCTTTTCTGAGAAGTGTGACAAAATCTTACACTGTCCCACGGTGTTATGCCCAAGATATGAATCATCCCTTTGTCCAGTAGGTCCACGCTGAATACAGTACCTGCCTGTTAGTCACCAAGTGGCCATCTGGGTTGTCACATCAACTGTCTCATTAGTACAGTGCTTGTGTTAAGTGACCCTGATTTTACTTAGTAATATCCCCAAGGCACGAGAGCAATAACCCCAGCAATTCAGATGTATACAAGACAACCTGTAAAGTACTTCCTTTAGGTGAAAAGGTGAGAGTCCTCGATTTAACAAGCAAAATAAAAATTGTACTCTGAGTTTGCTAAGATGTACAAAAAGGACAAATCATGTTATCTGGGAGACTGTGAAGAATGAAAAAGAAACTCATTGGCCGGGCGCGGTGGCTCAGGCCTGTAATCCCAGCACTTTGGGAGGCTGAGGCGGGTGGATCACGAGGTCAAGAGATCGAGACCATCCTGGTCAACAAGGTGAAACCCCGTCTCTGCTAAAAATACAAAAATTAGCTGGGCATGGTGGCGCGTGCCTGTAATCCCAGCTACTCAGGAGGCTGAGGCAGGAGAATTGCCTGAACTCAGGAGGCGGAGGTTGCGGTGAGCCGAGATCGCGCCATTGCACTCCAGCCTGGGTAACAAGAGCAAAACTCCGTCTCAACAACAACAACAACAAAAACTCATGTTAGTTCTGCTGTCACAGCTCAAACTGCCACAGTGCACAGAGACTTGCAATTCCTATATATGCCCATAGGATTCTCGCCTCTAAGCATTTGGAATGCTGGCTCCTATGGCCAGGAAACCTTTCATCACTTCATCCTACTGGATGCGGACATGGGAACATCTCTGTAGAACTTCTGACCCTGCTGAATCATCCAGGGTCTGAGGTGACCCAAAGGACCCAAAATCAAGGAAAAAGAGTCTCAGGACATCAGTGTCACCTGCATCTGTGGGCCAGAACCATGGATTTAGGGAATAGGGCCAGTGAAGACCTGGGACTTCTTCCACTTACCTGTGATGGTTTCACAAACTCTTCTGTTGCCACGGGAATCTGCAGGAAGAGGGAGGCTATGAAATAAAGGTGTTCGAGGTGGCATTTACAAAGGGTAAGTTGCTCTTGCCAACTGTGTGACACTGGACAAAGATCTGACCTCTCTGAGGTTGCCTCCATCTGTAAAATGGGAGCACTTAAGAGTGGCTACCTTGTAGTGCTATTTTAGGCATCAAACTCATTCATACATGTCCAGTGCTAAGACCGGGCTAGTACTGACCACAGCATCAAGACTTCTGTAAACAGTTTTGAAAATTCTGGTGTTTCTCACTTGCCATTTAAGTCTTTATGTGAATGGGATGTGTTAATCAAATTATTAGAGGCTTCTGAGATTCTCTGACAATAAATAGGTAGTGTCTTTTCCAACACCGTTCTCTGACTCTGATACCGACTACGTGTCCTGCAATTCAATCCTGTTCTGATACTAACTACCTGGAGTTGCTTCTAAAACAAAAGGTTTAAAGGCTCAGTCATACACAACTGTCCTCACTTCACATGCCCAGTACAAGCCAACATGCAGGCCAATAAACATAGCTGAATTCAACGGGACCATCCATCGAGTGGACGAAATCAACATCTTTAGGTTATTTTTTCCAACAAGAACAGAATATACACTGTTACCAAGATCACACGGAATAGTCAACCATGTCCAAACCAATAAACATAGCCGAATTCAACATCATCAATCAACTGGACATGATCAACATCTTTATTTTTTCCAACAAGAAGAGAATACACACTGTTCTCAAGCTCACACAGAATATCCAACAAGAAAGACCACAAGTCTTTATGTGAACGGGATATGTTACCAAATTATTAGAGGCTTCTGAGATTCTTTGACAATAAATGTGTAGTGTCTTTTCCAACACCATTCTCTGATTCTGATACCAACTACATGTCCTGCAATTCAATCCTATTCTGATAATACCTGGAGTTGCATCTAAACCAAAAGGTGTAAAGGCTCAGTCATACACAACTGTCCCCACTTCATATGCCAACTGCAAGCCAATGTCCAAACCACCGTAATTTTCTCCACTTGGCTACAAATTTGGGGGCTGCCATGACCGTGTTCAATAATTTGCTAGAACCACTTAGAGAACTCAGGAAAATACTTATGTTTACCAGTTTATGATAATGGATGTAACTCTGGAACAGACAAATGGAAGAGATGCATATGGCAAGGTACTGGGAGAGGGGGTAAGGCAGGATACTTCCATGCTCTCTTATGTCACTCTCCCAGCATTTCCAAGTGTTCACAACCTTGAAGCTTCCTGAACTCATTGTTCAAGATTTTATATAACCTAATCTCCAAACCTCTGCTTCCCTCCCTGGAGGCCAGAGCTGGGGCTTAAAGTTCAAAAATCCTGCTGAGTGCAGTGACTCACACCCATAATCCTAGCACTTTGGGAGGCCAAGGTGGGTGGATCACCAGAGGTCAGGAGTTCAAGACCAGCCTGGCCATCATGGTGAAACCCCATCTTTAAAAAAAAAAAAAAAAAAGGTTCAGAAATCCTATAATCACTTGATTTGTCTGGTGACCAACTCCACTCTGAGGCTATCTAGAGACTCCACCCTGTCTGCTCACCCTAAACCAACTCATAAAACTCAAGTATAGTAGCCTTCCCTTATCAGCTGTTTTGCTATCTGCAGTTTCAGTGACCTGCATTCAACTTCAGTGTGCAAATTATAAGTATTAAATATCAACTTCAGTATGAAAATAGTAATGTTAAAAATTTAATAGTAAATATTAAAATATTAAATTTCCAGAAATAAACAATTCATGTTTTAAATGGTTCACCATTCTAAGTGGTGTGAGGAAGTCTTACGCTGCGGAGTTTAGTCCTTTCTTCTTGAGATGAAGGGTAAACGGTATAGTAAGGTATTTAGAGATCCCACATTCACATAACTTTGTAAATAATCTTTTTTGTTTTTTATTGTCTCAGCTGCAGTAACGTAACTTTTATTAACTTATAATTAAAGTGTAATTGTTCGCCGGGCACGGTGGCTCACGCCTGTAATCCCAGCACTTTGGGAGGTTGAGGCGGGTGGATCACAAGGTCAAGAGATCGAGACCATCCTGGGCAACATGATGAAACCCCGTCTCTACTAAAAATACAAAAAATTAGTTGGGCATGGTGGTACATGCCTGTCATCCCAGCTACTCGGGAGGCTGAGGCAGGAGAATTGCCTGAACCCAGGAGGCGGAGGTTGCAGTGAGCCGAGATCGCGCCATTGCACTCCAGCCTGGGTAACAAGAGCGAAACTCCGTCTCAAAAATAAATAAATAAATAAAATAAAGTGTAATTGTTCTATATTTTTTCCAGTTATTCTTAATCTCTTAGAGTGCCTAATTTATAAATTGGACTTTATTATAGGTATGCAGTCTAGGAAGAAACATAGTATATATAGGTTGGGTACTATCTGGAGTTTCAGGCCTCCACTGCGGGTCTTGCAAAGCATCCTCCAAGGATAAGGAGAAATTCATTGTTCAACTACTAAATGTATTATAGCCTATTGCTCCTCGGCTGCAAACCTGTACCGCAAGTTACTATACTAAGTACTGTCAGTAACTGCAACACAGTGATAATTATTTGGGTATTTAAACATATATAAACTTAGAAAACGCAGTTTACCTCTTCATCAGAAAGAAATAAAATGAAAAGGTACAATATGGTATCATAATCTCATGGGACCACCGTCATTGATGGTCAACATTGTTGTTATGTGTTACATGACTTATCACAAGACACTTCACTGAGAAAATTACAAGGATTTTAGGAGTTCTGTGCCAGGAAAGCATGACAAAAAGCAAACGTATTTATTTTTTTATTAGAGCAGAGAGGTATAGTGGCATTTTAATCGACTAGTTGCTTAAATAAATTTGTTAAATCTATACAGTTTAAACCTGTGTTTTCCGGGGAGAGCTGCTCTTGCTGGGTTTGAGCTGCTCTGTTAGTCTGGCTGACCTTTTTCTGGCTCTATATAGAGTGAACGGTTGGCCGAACCTTCTGAATGGTGACTTTGCACAGTGTCCCACCCTCAAATCCATCCTATGCAGTGTGTATGCCTTAAACATTCCCTCTGGAAGTACCCCTGGAACCTCAGGGCCCTTCTATCTGCAAGGCTGACCCACTCTTCCCCAGCCTCCAGCCTCAGCCCTCCCTCTCTTCATCTCAGAGTAAAATCTTAAGATTACCCGTCTAAATTTAAGA